AATTTTTGCTGCACATGCTTAAAAATGCAGAAAGTAATGCTGAACTTAAGGGTTTAGATGTAGATTCTCTGGCCACTGAGCATATTCAGGTGAACAAATTGCCCAAGATGCGCTGCAGAACTTACAGAGCTCATGGTCATATTAACCCATGCATGAGCTCCCCCTGTGTATCGAAATGATCCTCACTAAAAAAGAACAAATTGTTCCTAAGCCTGAAGAGGAAGTTGCACAAAAGAAAAAGATACCCCAGAAGAAACTGAAGAAACAAAAACTTATGGCATGAGAATAAATTGAGCATAAAATAAACACAGATAAAAGTAAAAAATAAATAAATGAAAATTATTGCTTGAAATTTTATAAGGGTGATACTAAATTTTAACATATACAGTTTTCATTCCAAAGGGCAAGGAAAAAAACAGTAACAACCATAACAACAACAAAAAAAAAAAAGGAGAAAATTTGAATCTCTTTTTCTTTGGAAGGATGGATTTCATTATACAGTCCTTGAAAGTGGTATGGGAGTCAGTGAGAAATGGAAATAATTGAGTCCTAGCCCTGAACCGACTCATATCAGAAATGGGATGAGGGAACTGGAAGCAGTGCTTTAACTGACTCCTGTTTCTCCAGGAAGTCAGACTAGGAATGTGCCAACTAGGGCCTACAGTCCAAATCCACCCTTCTGCATGTTTTTGTAAATAAAGTTTTATTGAAACACAGTCACAGTCATTCCTGCATATAGCAATGTAGGGCTGTTAGCATTCTACCATGGCCAAGTTCAGGAGCTACAAGAGATACCCTATGGCCTGCAAAGGTTATTTACTATTTGGTTATTTACAGAGAAAATCCGACAACCTGCACTTTGGTGATGGTTTTCAGGCTACTGGGTTCAGCTACCAGAGTATAAAAGCTCATGTTTCAATATTCATTTTTTGTTTTTCGTGATTTTCAGCTATTTTCTTATATTTGTGTCACTGAACATTTCTACCAGTGACTCTGAATGACTTTCTTCACTCCCAGGTGACAGGGTCAGTTTTTCTCAAGGGTGGATTCAGTGCATGGGAAATTCTAGATTTATGAGTACAAGGTAGACAGAAATAGAGCAAAGCTCATTCTGTATGGATGGTTAGCTATGCTGTTTCCAAGATCACAGCCTGAATTAGAACTTGCCTTTGTGAAATGAACACTATAGGCTGAATAAGTGCTTTGACCAAAGGCAGAAAAGGATAGAGAACTTTCTTTGCTTGTAATGGGAGAAAAGCTACATGGTCTATCCAAACATTTATTAGATCAGCAGGTGAAGGTGCTACCTATAAAGGTGATTACTACAATGGACTGTACTATAGCATAATGTAAGTATAAAGGCCCCTTAACATACCATTCTCTAAACAGATATCTCTTATGGATGAACACTAGATAAACTCAATTTCAATTCTACCCACTAGTCTCAAACAGGCACTTAGCCAAATTGTTACTTATAGTTTGAAAAAATGAATCAAATGCACAAGGATTTCATTAGATAAGTCCCTTCTTTATCCAAAGAATTAACCCAAAGGAAGAACTACAGGCCACACTGAGAATGTAACCCATGCTTCAACCATGGCTAAATTAAAAAGAAAGGCTTAAAATCTAGTAGGACTTTGCTTCTGTTGTGGAGTGATTCTGAACATCCTCTAAATAAATTGCTCCAAGGCACTAAGTAGCCTTCAAGTTAGAATGCTTCTTACTGCCTTTGCTATCCCACTTTAGTAAACCCTTTAAGCTGGAGAATTAAGTTTCTTTAGCTCTTCCCTCCCAGCCTGGAACTTTACCCTTGCTCACTTTTACCTAAATCCGTTGTGATTTAGAAGAACGGGGGGAAGAAATAAAATGATGTATATACATATATAAAATCATGATGAATGACTTTCTGCTCCCTCTCCAGGAGACACAAGATAACTCCCTTCTTGGGAGTTCTGCCTCCTCCCTAATACAGATATTCTGACAGATTTGAAAAAACATACTTTCCATATACTTCATAATTCAGTGAAACTAAACCAGTATACTCCTCAGTGGAAACAAATCCACACAAGAACAGCAGTACTCTGAATTTTCAAAGGAATGTGACTGCTGGAAGCTAATCAAAAGCATGAGAACGACTTAAAATGAAGCAGTCTCTAAAAGTGAAAAATCAGCAAAACGGACTCTCCTACCCTAAAACTCCAATGCTCTGCGAACACATCCTTTTATTTTTAAAACGATGCCTACCATTTCAGCATGTTAAAATGTGGTTTAAAAGGGGCCAATGGAGCCTGGAAGATGGCTCAGACCTCTGCTGCCAATCCCGATGACCTGAGGTCAATCCCCGGGAGCAACAAGGTGCAAGGAGAGAACTGACTCCTGCAGGTTGTCCTCTGACCTCCATGAGTGCCATGGCATGTGCACGTGTACACACACACACACACACACACACACACACACACACACGCTCTCTCTCTCTCTCTCTCTCTCTCTCTCATCAAATCAATAAAATAAAAAAGAACTCCCTGTAGTTTCAATAAAAGAAAGGAAAGAAAAAAAGACAGAAAGAGAGAGAGAGAGAGAGAGAGAGAGAAAGAAAGAAAGAAAGAAAGAAAGAAAGAAAGAAAGAAAGAAAGAAAGAAAGAAAAGAAAGAAAAAGTAAGTGACCAAGGGACCAGGTGAAATGGCTCAGCAGGTAAGGGTGCCAGCTGCCAAGACTGACAACCTGACTTTGATCCCCAAACCCACAGAGTGGAAGGACAGAAAAGATTTCCAAAGGTTGTCCTTTGACCTCTGTATTCAAGCTCTCTCACACACAAATAACTAAATGTAAAAAAAAAAAAAATTGAAAAGGGACCATTGGTAGTTATAGTGGATCCACGGATGACACTCATCCGAGTCTGTCATTATGGATCCACTAGCTGGCATCTGGTGACGTTGTCAGTACTCAGTAATCAAAAGGACAGGAAGTTTAGAAGTGTAAATAGTTCTAAGACATTTACACAGATTGATACAAGAACCTCAGACACCTATTTTCATCTGCAGTTGTGAAAATGCAAACTGGCTTACCTGAATGTATTTTCCCAGAGATTTTCTAAATGAAGTAATTTCTACAAGAAAGGCTACTGTAAGATCAAAGTGAGGTGCCATAGTTTATTCCCAATTACAAGGTCTGGGGCTTTCTCCAATGGTCTAAAGAATTATTTACAAATGCCTGTATTTATAATTTCTCAAATATGACATATTAATCTAGTGACTACACTATTATAGGTAAATATAATCATGTGACAACCCATGCTGGCAAAGTAAAATGGCCACATTCTAGTCTAGATAATAGTTTTCATGGCTAATCTGGGTTGTCAACTTTTAGATTAACATCAAAAAGATTAGTAAAGTGCACCTTTGGGTATGACTGTGATACTGTTTCTAGAAAAAAAAATTAGATTATGAAGGCTAGAGTCCTCATGATCTAATAATGGAGATTCAAAATCGGAACACTGAGAGCCTTGTGGAGGAAATGGATGACTGGGGCATGGCTTTGAAGGGTCTGTCTTGCTCTGGTTCCTTCCTGTTACTCAGCTTTGTTTCTTGGTTGTCATGAAGTGAACAGTTTCTCCCCACCATGCCCTTTCTCCATGCTCTTCCTGTCTTGCTACAGCCTAAAAGTAAGGGAGCCAGCTAACCATGGACAGAAACCTCTGATGCTGGGAGCCAAAAATCAATCTTTGCTCCCCTAAGTTTACTTTCTCAGTTATTTGTCATGGAGATAAAAAAAAAAAAAAACACTTGATGAATATAGTAGATGAAAAGATAAGATATAAGGCCCAAATAGCAACTGTTTTACTTATAAGATAAACACTCTGGGAAATACTGTTTTCAATTTGAGCACAAATCAACACATCCTATATATTCTATTTTTATTTTCTGTGTATGTGTGTATTGCCTGCATGTAGGTAAGTGCACCCGTGTCGTGCAATGCCTGTGGAGGACAGAAGAGGCTGTTGGATTCCCTGGAACTGGAGTTACCGACAGTTGTTAGCTGCTATGTGAGTGCTGGGATTTGAACCTGGGTCTTCTGGAAGAACAATCAGTGTTCTTAACCACTGAGCCATCTCTCCAGCCCCATTAACTCTATTTTTATTAAAAAAAAAAAAAAAAGAAGCAAAAGACAGGAGGTCAAATGGAGAAAAAAGGTTTTTTTTTCCCCCATAATGAAATACCAGAGAAGTTCAGAGACTCAGTATTAATTTAACCCAATAATCCTATGACAAAACATGGTAACTGATTCTAATACTATAGAATTCAAGAATTTAACTCTCTTGACATTTTTGTGAGTCCGTCTTTCCTCTGAAGTTGGGACCATGTTGACAGACTGGCGCAATATAGCTTCTGACACAGAGACTTGGGAGTTTCAGATATTTTGTGGACAGTGAGTAGGGAATCAATATTTCCCTATGTGTGAGTTCCACAACAGCAAGGATGCTTTGGTGGGGTCTCTGTTATAGTCCCACGGGTTAAAACAGTTCCTAGTGCATGACAGGCACTCAGTATTTGTTGAATGAACAGCTGTCACCTACAGAAATCCAACAACCTAACTTGTGACTATTTCCCAGAACTTGTAAGTTATAATAGATCATGACAAAGTGTTATGTATTTATTTATGCCAAGTCTATGAAGGCTAGAAAGTGGTACTTTTACAAATAATGACGCTCAAAATGCTGCTTTAGGCAACTGGGAATTAAGGCTGTCTGGGAGGCTACTAAGATCATTCAACAGAAAAGCTAACTATGGTAATAAAGGATTTTGTATATTCAAAGAAAATAATCAGGTCAAACACTAGATCAGCATTGTCTTCTAAGGAAGTCAGGGTTACAGCTCCACTGAGACACCCAAGCCAGGAGTTGGACAAAGTTTTAGGAAACTAATCTTTGATTACGAATTCATTCCCCTTAACTTTCTTCTTACTAACAGAAGGAAGACACTATCTTATGTTTTAAAATTACCTGATGTTGGGCTCGACTCTGGTCCAGAAGCTGCTGGGACTGAAGTTTTTGTTGTTCAAGTTGCTGGAGGGCAAAATGGAGTTGGTAACTGCCTGCTGTGGGGTGGTACTTGTGCTGGGGAACCACCCCTGTAGCCTTGCTGTACACGTTGTTCTCTACCTCTCCTTCCCAGGCAAAGCCACCTGTCTGGAGGCTCCTGAAGAGAAAAGAGAATTTTTTTTTAGCATGGCTATGTGAACAAACCAAAAGAAAGAAATGTCTCAGGCATTTTTCCTCTATAGAACACAGATATGGGTTAGACTTATGAATCTACTCCTGTGATAAATTAATTTGACTCCTCCACTAAATCACATCTTGGTAATTTCAGATCTCTGCTTTGGTTTGCAAATTTCTCAAACAAAGGGATTTCCAAATTCCTAAAGTTTATCTTTGACAGGTGTTCTGAAATCTATGGTGAAAGGTTTTGTATTCGTACAATCTCACCTTCTGATGAGTTACATCCCTTGCTCAGGGATGGGATACTCAGTTTGCCTTCCACAGAAATCACTCAGTTCCATGCTACCAGTTAATCTTGGAGAACAGGACCAAAAAACTCAGGGCTTAATTTATTTAGCTTTTGAGAATAACATCTAATCTTTAGTGACTCCTCTGCAAATACCTCAATGAGTGCATTATGCATATTTTACATGTCTATTTTATATATATAGTATGTATGTACATAAAAGAAACCTTTCCCAAGGGACTTCTGAACTTATGGAGAAATGTGGTGATCCTGGTGGGAAATAAATAAATGCCTAAATGTATTAATGAAATGCTAACCTAACTCAGAAGGCAGAGTGCTAAGTAAGATGGGATTACACTGTTAGGAAAGAAGATGGAATCTTGTGTATGTGTGGGGTGGTGGTATGGGCTTGTGTGCATGCAGGTGCACATGCATGTGAAAGCCAGGGATCAATGCTAGGAGTCCCCAATGCTCTCTAAATGAATTATCTGATACTTGAAACAGAGTCTCTGATTGAACCTGGAGTGTGCCAATTTGGCTAGACTGGCAGACCAGCAAGTCCCAAGCGTCTCTCTGTCTCCACCTCTCCAGCACAGGGATGACAAATGGATGCTAATATACTTGGCTTTTCACGTGGGTGCTGAGGATCCAAACTCAGGTCTTCACACTTGTTCAGCAAGCACTTTCCCGATCGAGCCATCTCCCCAGGCCCAAAGAACCTTTTCTCTCTTTTCTCATTAGTCAGGGAAGCTGACTGATGCAAATACACAAGAAGTTAAAAGGCATTCAGTGAGCTGAGCAGGAGGGATGACAGAGAAAGGCATTCAGTGAGCTGTGAGCAGGAGGGATGACAGAGAAAGGCATTCAGCTTTATTTTATTTGAGACAGGGTGAGACAAGGTCTTGCTACCGTAGCCCAGGCTGGCCTTGAAATCTTGAACCTCCTGTTTCTGACCGCCAAGTACCAGGAACACAGGTGTGTGTTATCCTGCTCGATAGGCACTCAGGTTTAAATGATGAGAAAGGTCAGTCACGAATACCTCTTTTCCAAATGAACACAAAGGGAAATGCTTTAGCTCTATCATCTTGAAAATTTCATGACAAGTAAGCTAGGTCTTGCTTTAATCTCAAATGGAACTATTATAAGTCATGGAACTGAAGAATAGAAAATTCACTCATAGTGACTCTGCTTCCATTTCTGGCTTGCTGGTTATAGAAGTTTCTAGCCATGGGGAACAATCTAGATTCAGTAAATAGACATTAGTAAAGTAAAGCAATATGTACTTTATCTCCAACTTTATCCCACTGGGTAGCTTGAGTAATTTTACTTGCTAAAAACTGTTTTTACAACAAACATTTCCACAAGACATTCATTTTAATGCCTTCTTGTTGTGTATCAGAAATTGTAGTCTGTAGACAGGTCCTTTACTTGGAAAGATGGTTCCTAGGTTCTCGAGTATGGCAACAGAGGTAAGGACATACAGATGTATAGGGGTAGGACAGTGGGCAAAAGATCAAGTAAAGAACTGTGGATAAGGACACAAGTGTTCTTCCAACTCCACATATTGAAGAGACTGAAACATCATAAACTTTTATAGTGCAATATGTTTTAAATCTCATCAGTAATATAAGCTCAGCCTGCAAATCACAAAAGGAAGTTTCTCAGGCAAGTAGAGGCTTTTAGCAAAGAGGCAGGAATTTTTACAGTGTAACACTGGGTGGGGGCAGGGATGCTCAGCTGTGTAACATAGTAAAAGCCAGAGAAACTTGTTTGTTTTGAATTTCAGTGAGGTTACTCGGGCCATATTATCTCATATTAAAAGCTTAAGTCTTTAGAGTTTCCAGGATATGTTGCTGACACGAAGAGGCCAGGTATACTGTAATGGGCTTTCTCTGAGTTCTGGTGCCTGAGTTCAGACATCTGTTCCTTTCTACAGCATCTATACCTTTTAATTCCATCTTTTCTACCCCATTTTCATTAACGAGGTCTTTACTTCACTAGTGATATTTTTTTCTACCCTCAACAAAATTTTGAGATTCAACTGTCCTCACTAAAATGTCCTGCAAAATGTCTGGGGCTAAAAGTGTTTTGAATATTTTTTTTTTGAGAATCTGAAATAATGGCACTTGCATATACATATATATGCAATATATAGTGATATCTTGGAGCATCTAATTCACTTATGCTTCATATATACCTGATATTCCAAACTTCTAGTCCCAGCCACTGGGAAGGTTGAGGGAGAAGAGCTCAAGCCACAGAGTCTGAGGCCAGTCTGGACCACACTGCAAGACCTTAGCATAATGAAAATATTTTTTTAAGTTAATAGTGAGCAACCATATGTCACATTTTCCTGAATACTGCATTCTCTTAAGTTTATCCATGAAGAACTTCACTATACTTACTATCCCAATAAGGCACTACAAGATGCACTGTTCTCAATGTAACTGCCCTTCCTACTGCCCAGCCCTTAACTTCCTATTTCTCTCTTTGGTTCTGTTTTTGTTCTATCAGCTAAGGTTAGGTCCTGAGATCAAATGTAAGGTTAAAGAGGCCATAGGCACGGAAGGACCCTTTAGTGTGACTAACTTCTCTATGCCTTTATTATCCTTACATTTTTCTCACCTGCAAATACTCCCTATCTCATATGGCTGTTGTAGAAAACAGGAGTGGAAGTACTAAAAAGAAAAAAACTGTATTACCACTGTCAACATTACTATTTTTACTACTCTTTCCCCATCCCAATGATTCCACTTCAGTGCTATCAGAACCCTACATTTCTTTGGGGCAGGATACAGAAAACAGAACCATTTACCAAGTGCTATGAAGTTAGCACTGAACAGTTCTTACTTACAGTACTATACTTCAAGTTAAAAAAAAAGACAAACAGGCAAACAAAAAGTCACATTTTATTTTAAATTTAAATATTAATTTTTTTTAATTGGTGAGTTTGCTCACTGGGATAAAACTATACCTTTTTATTTTATTTTTTCCTGTTTTGAATCTTTGGAGTTAACAGTGAGATATTTCTTGTGCTGGAAAAGTGCAACAGAGATAGTATTAAAAATACTGAAATGCTTCAAAGTCATCTGGAAAAGCCTTGTGAACTTCTGATGACCTACACACTAGGTCGAAAGCACAACCCTATATGAAATTCTATGCAAGCCAAGCTTCCTGCTTGAGAACAGGGAGAAACAGCTTAAAATATTTTGTTTATCTGATACGATGAAAGACTCTTGGGAAAGGATTAAAGAAATAATCCAAGAAAGAAAGAATTCTGGAGTAGCAGACCCTGGATCCATACCACAGGCCCTGACCCCAGACCACCCCAAAATGGAAGGCAGGCACTTAGAGACCTAGAGCTGGGATCTAGAATAAGATTACTAAGTTCAAATCCTGACACTACCACTAAAAGCAGCACATTTAACCTGTGTGTGCCTCTGTTTCCTTTGCTGTGAGATGGGAATAAAAAGTAATCCCACCTGGCTGACTCAAGTAAATGGAACAGCCCTTGTTGAGCATTTAGCACATACCTGGCATTACAGAGTAAGTGCTCAGTAATGTTAGCTACTATTATTAACATTCTTCCTGTGGAGAGTGAACGCAAGCCTTTGGGAGGGATGGGGGCCAGTGTAACACGATAGGGACACTGAGGAGCAGGTGTGAGCAATTCTACTACTTTGGAAAAAGAAGTGAGGCAAAGTTGTCTTTTCAAGCTCCTTACTAATAAGCCCTTACCCTGGGTAACAAATATGGGAGTGATTTTAGTAGATTAAGAAAAAGGGCTGAAGATGTGTGAGCTGGAGCACAGAGTTTACTCAGTGGTCTCACCCAACAGGGACAGCTGCAGCATGACAGCTCCTGCCTAGGAGGATTTCCTCAGCCACACTAGCTGGAGTACATGCCACCATGGGTAGGGAGCTGGCTCTTGCTACAAAGTGAGGATTTATTATAATAATATTGTTGCCAACCAGGGAGTGGCAGTTATGAATGGAGATTATGAGCCTCCCTGCCCCTCTCTAACTCCAAATGTGACTTACCAGGAGTGGCTACATCCCTTTCAGCTTTTGTGAAATTAAACAAAAGTAGATTTTTGTAAAGAATAAGAGCAGTATTTTCTCAATATCCTAAACCTGATTAATGTAAGTTATCTTTGACTCAACAACCAAAATTGCCAATTGGAAAACTTTTGTTAACATATCATTTATTTTGTAGTTTGATAGTTTAATTTGATTTGCCTGAAATAACAAAAGCATTTCAAGCATCTTTCATTATATATTTGATGTCCTGCATTAAACAATCTACTAACAAAAGGTTATTAGCAAGTTTTCAAAAAAATTTAAAAATTAAACAGTTGTTTCAAAACCATTAAGTAGTAAATGTATTTAAGAAACTAATTAGGATAGAGGCCACAACTTCATTAGAATACCACTGCTCATGTTTTTTGTTTTTTAATACAGGTTCTTACTAAGTAGCCCAAGCTGGCCTGGAACTTTCAATCTTTCTGTCTCAGAATGCTAGGATTACAGGATGAACTATCATGTCAGGTTTGCTGATATCTTGATGTATACTCTGTCTTTGAATTTTTGAATTTCCCTCAAGTGATTCTGTACTATCTGTTTTATACATGGCTTTTTTTTTTTTTTTGGTCATCTAGCCATAAGTTGTAAACATTCTCATAGCTTTCCCTACCA